ATACATACACGTAGAGACACACATACATACATATATATATATGAATACACATATACAGGTTGTACCAAAAGTCAGGCCTGTTGGCCAATTGCACTGTTTTGTTTTTTTTAGAGAAAATGTTTCTGAACCTAAGAACATTAAAAAGCCACGCATCAAATGAGTAAAGAAGTGTTTAGAGGCAAATGGCAGTCAAATTGAATATTTAACGTACTTGATATAAATTGTCTAGGAGGCCTGATTTTTGGTACACCCTATATACATACACACACACATATATACACATATGTACACATACTGCAATACATACGCACCCAACATACATGCATGCGTGTGTGTGTCAAGTGTTTTATACAAGGCAGTTAAAAAGCTGTTGCAAAATATGCTGATTTTTATGAAAAATATGAAGCGGGTTATGCATTTAGGAAACAAATGGACAAAATACATCCGTCCTTTGCTTTCGGATTTGGATGCCATTATAATATGTTGAAGGGGATGTAAAATCCCAAATTCCTGGTCTCTCTGCATCCCCCCAGTTCTCAGATTTGTCAGTCGGAGGACCTTGGTGTCTGGGTTGACCATCATACATCATTTATTTATTTATTGTTTATTCAGTTTATATAGTTTGAAGACCTGGTATGATATATACGCACACCAGTGTATAAAGTGACATTGTAACTTTTCCGCCTTAACAATGTTTTGGCTTTCCCAGAGGTTGAAAGCGGCTTTTCATTACACTGCTGCCCGTCTGTGTGAAGAAGTTGCTGAAGATAAAGGCATTTGCTTTAGCAGACAAGCCATCGCAGCTGTTTCTGAGATCACCTTTAGGCAATGCGGTACTTTTCCTTATCTGCTCAGTGTATTTCTTTAAAAAAAAGAACTGGAATTAGATATTACCTAGAGATACATCTTTTACTTTTGTAAAACTAGAGGGAATGCGCAGATCCTTCTGCAAAATCAGTTGAACCACAAGTCAAACGTGCTCTAGAGTTCTTTAACAGTTGCTTTAAACATTGCTTTCTATACAAGCGTCTCTGTGTTCTGTACAATGTGAGGTTTGGTTCAATACAGTGTTTGCTTTGAAGCAGAATTTCTAGTCCTTTCGAAGGTTAAGGAAACGTCTAAAAAATGTGGCCATATCAGAGTAAGCCAGGTGTAGGCAGGGCTTCGGGTACTCCAAGTATTCTGAAGAGCTGAGCCCTGATTGAAAAACCAGACTGAAATTAAATTGCATGGTTCCCTGTATTTTGATTTGGAAGAAAATTCCATCACAATCCATAGAAATAATAATACTTTGATTAACACGAGTGGGCAACAGTATCCATAGCAAACCACATGTCGCCAAAATAATTATGCTTGTGTGGTGATGTTGTAAAACAAAAGCTGTCATTGTGTCCTGATGTCTGATGCAAATAGGCGAATCATGGCGTTTGCGTGATGATGTCGTGTACATTTTGTCATCCCCCCATGGACTATGGATTTGATCTTCAAAACGTGCTTCAGGACACACAGGAGTGCAAGCATGACACTTGGAATAGTGCAATCTGAGGAAAAGATGCAGCTGTTTTAAGGTGTTGCAGGTAGGTGCTGTGTTCGTGCTGGCGTGCACTCTGAAGCACCTTTTGGAGATCAAATCCAGAGTCTTTGGTTAATAAGACCCGGAATTTTTGTTCAGAATAATTATCCCTGTGGGTAAGATCCTTTTCCTTTCAGTTACTTTGTCTTTGATACACTGCCTTTAAATTTTCTGGGATGTGTTTTTAGATCTCTCCTTAACTTACAGAGCTGCTATTATATAACCAGCGTAGCTTTCATCCCAGCTAAACTAACAAACTGGGGTTGTTTATAAATAAATATGTTTATGATAGTACTGGAAGCCAGATTGCTTTACCTATAACTTCGTATGTTACCAGTTGAAATTGACTCTGCTTTTCAAGTGAAAAACATTTTAAGATACTTTTTATTTTTCCTTTTCAGAAATTTTTGCAAGGGACCTTGAAATGTTTGCCAAGTAAGTACTATTGAAAGAGGTAATACTTAAAAATAATCAACAAGTACCTTTGTCTAATAAGACATCTAGAAAAATATTTTTGTTTCTTTTTCTGTTTCTCCTGGAAGCTAGCTAAACTATTTCTTAAAATAGACGGCATTAATAGGGTGTGTGTGCTGTGGCCAGGGATTCTAATATTTGGTCTCCTGAAGGCACAGTATTTCTTGAACCTGTTACAGTTTCTTATCTCTAAGCCTCCTATTCTTCTGAAGCGTTATTGATATTTGACTTTAAAACCCATTCTGGATTGTTTAGCTTTATTTGTTTATTTATTTTTTACGGCTGCCAAATTTTGCATTTAGATCTGCATGTATACACACTCCATTTTCCTGAATTGCTTTGGAAGCCAGTTTAACTGTACAGAAAATTGCCATCAGGATAATAAAGCTTTTGTTTGAATCTTGCTTCCTGGGAATGGTTTATGAGTATACTATAGTCTGCCTAATGTAGTTGCCTGCAGATATGTGCCTAAGCCACAGCAGACACAGTCGGAGGGTCTCCTTTACAGATGCAGCCTCTTGAGCAGTGGTGAGTGAGTGGTTTGTGATGGTGCTCCTGTTTGCAGGTTAGAGCTGGAGATAATGTAAACTGTTTTTGCGGTACTATTTTATGAAGCCATTTGGTTTTGTTTTGCCTCACGTAAATCGCTGGAGGCGGCGACGTGCCGTCTCTTGTTTAAAGTTGCTGTTCTGGTTTTGCCTTTGTGTTAGCAAATATGCTCATCTCAGGGACTCCTGCAGAAGCGGTGGCTGTGTTCTCACATCATACTAAACCGTAGTTTGTTAAACAAGTCACAGCTAGCACATATTGCGCCGAGTGAACAGCAACCAAATTAGTGTGATGTGTGAATCCAGTGGGTGGCTCACGCAAGACATTGAAGACTTCGTTGCTGGTGGCTTTGAGTACACGGACCTATGGTGTTGAATGCCGTATCAACATACTTACAGCATGCTGTTGGTCAGCCTCTTGCTTTCATCCAGCTGCCTTTTAGCAGGGATGGTCTAAAATTAATTCTGACACTCTATTTCAGTGCATTAATTGGCATTTTATTTAATAACGACATTAAATTACTTCTGTAACTGGTGCCAAGCTCTTGAGAAAAGGGTGGACCAAGAAGGAGCTAGTTAATGAAGAGAAAGCATGCTTTC